GATAGGGGTCTGGAGAACAACACGCCTGGCTTTGTCTGTTGCTTCGCCTCCGTCAGAACTGGGCATGTGCGGCCAGGCAGGAGGCGTGGCTATCTCAGACTTAGTCTTATTGGGTACAAGGGACTTCAGGAAACCCAATCAAGTGGATTATCCATCATCATGCTGAGAAATGGCGTTCAGGTAAGACCAACGCCCCTTTCCATCAAAAAGACCCGCCAAGCCCTCAGCTATACCCTTCCTCCACGGCCACGCCACAAGAGCACATTAACTGTGAGCCGAATTTTCTCTGTCCGCCGTCTGCAGCCTTGGACTAAGCTCCAGCCACGTAGTGTTTCCTTCCATAGCTTGCACAAGCAGCAATCACTTCTACATAGTCATCTGTTGTTTTTCAGGCAATGTTTCCAGAAACTGAGCTGTTTGGGACGAGGATCTTTTGGGGAGGTATATAAGGTAAGTGGTCATCAAGTAATGATTAATGGCTTAAAATAAGCTTACAGAAATTAATGGAGACTTTAATGGATTTTAGTTGGGACAGCTAAATGGAGATTCCACATTCTGTAGGGCTATGTGGGACTAGATAAAAAGTATTGTCATCACATTCCATTAGTAAACCTCTTTGAACCATGTGGCAGACAACTCAAAAAAACAAATTGAACTTTTATTTAAACAGCAGATAATTTCCTATATTTCAGTGTAACTTGTGTAACTTGGTATCCTGTAGAAAATTTTGCATTTCATATTACAGTATTTAAGTACTTGTGATTTAATTTTGACTGCCTTAGCAATTAAAACAAATAGAACATTTATTTGCAGTCTCATTACATGATATAGACATTACTCCCTGTCAGAGAAAAATAATGTTTTTGGCACAATGGTACCACTCCTCACTAACAATGTTGGGATTATCTGGTAGGATTCTTTAATTTAAAACCAAGTTCCTCCCCATTCTCTCTTATAGGTACGGTCTCGTGAAGATGGTCAATTGTATGCAGTGAAGCGTTCTGCAGAGCCTTTCCGGGGTGAGGGCGATAGGCAGCGCAAATTGGCTGAGGTGCGCAAGCATGAGCGTGTGGGGCACCATCCCAACTGTGTGAGCTTTGTACAGGCCTGGGAGGAGCGTGGTCAACTGTACATCCAGACAGAGTTGTGCCCGGGCATCCTGTTGCAGTACTGTGAGGAATGTGGGCCTCTGTCCGAATGGCAAGTTCAGGCCTTTCTCTGGGATATGCTTCAAGGACTGCGCCATTTACATGATCGTAACCTTCTACACATGGATATCAAGCCAGCTAACATCTTTCTATCATCTACCAATGTCTGTAAGCTGGGCGACTTTGGGCAAATGCTGGAGTTGGACTTTGGGGATCTGAAAGATGCTCAAGAAGGGGATCCACGCTACATGGCCCCGGAACTGCTCCATGGAGAATATACCAAGGCTGCTGATGTCTTCAGGTGTGGGGTGTGATGAGAAGGTGGGGAGCTAGATTTTCTGGTGCCAGGAATGGCCACTCTTGCATAATTTGCTCCTTTGCCTCAAATGTTGCTAACAATGGGTATTAAAAATCAGTGATATGGTTTAATAGTGCTGCCTGCTACAGTTATGTGATCTATGTCTTTCTGTCTTCCCAGTCTAGGCATAACTATCCTAGAAATTGCCTGTAATATGGAGCTCCCCAATGGAGGTGAAGGCTGGCAGCAGCGTCGGCAGGGTTATTTGCCCCCAGAATTCACTGCAGGTGAGCAGCAGTAAAGGGGACATCTCTGTGTATAATATCTACAGTGCAAGAATTCTGCTGGCAATCTTCTTAAGCAGGCAAACTAAAAAGCAGAATAATCAAGTAAGGAAGCCGCTGATATGAAAAATTCAATATGCCACATAATTAAAGATAGGTGACTGACTCTTCCTATCCACTTCAGGTCTCTCGGTTGAGCTGCAAAAACTTCTAGTTGTCATGTTGGAACCCGATAATTTTCTCCGCCCCTCAGTGGAGATGTTGCTTAATTCTAGTCTCATGCAGAAAACAGAAGTGGCGAAAACTCATGTTGTTAGCGCAATCTGGGATCCAGCAGGGTGTCTCCATGTACAAGGTAAGCATGAATTTAGCCAGATATTGTTATGGTCCAAATTCTACAGCAACCTTTAACCATATCCTCTTTGGTGACTATTCATTTTTATGTATGTTTGCTTCATAATGGAGTAATAAACCTTTTAAAAATAAATACCACACAGGGATGCCAGAGCACTCTTTTCCTTATAACTATAGTCATGACTTCTGTTTTTTTAGCTTAGTAAGTCTGTCCACGTCCTCGGGAGCCACAGAGTCAAACTCCTCCCATATAATAGTCTCAAGACCTGCTCCCGTCTCCTCCCCCGGGGCCACCCAGTCGGAGTCCAAACCCTCTCGGATCTGAGCGACTTTGTCATACAGATATTGAGCAAAGTCCTCAGCCCTCCCCACCAGGGGGTCCTCCCCCCCCAACTGAAGGAGAGAGCGGGTCACCCTGAAGAGGGTGGCTGGGCGATTATCTGATGACGCAATGAGGGTGGAGTAGTAATTAGACCTCGCCACCCTCATTGCCACTAGGTAGGATCTAACATGCATCCTTGCCTGTGCTCGGTCGGATTCGGTTCGGGTAGCCCTCCAACTGCTCTCT